CGGCCGTGCCCGGGCTCACGAGGCCCAGCATCTCTCCTGGCTGGTCTGGGGCCTGCACCCCCACGGGTGCTGTCGGGAAATTCTTTCTGATGCTGACGAGGAGGAGTGCTAGGGAGTCAGCGTGGGTATGGGGGGTCAGGAAGGCCATTTAACTCTTCTGTTCTCCCCTCCCCGCAACGTGGAACCTGGTATTCAGCCCAAATCCCTCGTTCTAAATCCCTAATGTTTTAAACTTCACTGACCGACCACCTGCTCTTCCCGGGAAGTCCTCCGTATTTACTGTTGGTGCCTTAGCTTTCTTGTCCTGCTCGGCAGCCCCGCCCCTTCCAGGGGCATGCCCTCTGATAGCCAGTGTGGGTCCCAGAAGCCTGGCCTGGTGGGGCAGGGGAGGCCTCTCCAGCCTGGCTGACCCCGTCTCCGTCTTCCTTCAGACAACCTCTCCTACATCGAGCACATCTTCGAGATCTCTCGCCGCCCTGACCTGCTCACCATGGTGGTGGACTACAGAACCCGTGTTCTGAAGATCTCCGAGGAGGATGAGCTGGACACCAAGCTGACCCGCATCCCCAGTGCCAAGAAGTACAAAGGTAGGAGGCCACGCCTTCACCGTGCACCTCTCCCCCCGCCCAGGGGTGATCCTTGGAGCACTTGACTCTGGGGAGAACGGAGGCGGATGCGGCGGGCCTGCCTGCTGTCGTCCACGCCTCCCGTCCCTGGACACCTCCCTTTTTGCCCCCAGACATCATCCGGCAGCCCTCGGAGGAAGAGATCATCAAACTGGCTCCGCCACCGAAGAAAGCCTGAGCGAGGGGGAGGAGAGGAGGAAGGTTGGACCTTCACTGGACCACTCCCTTCCCCCAGCCTCCAGGGGAGGGGCGAGGGCAACCCCCCCAGTCTACCCACTTACTAACCTGGTCCTAACCCCCTTACTGTGCGCGTGTGTGTGCGTGTGCGCACGCTCTGGCTGTCCGTCTGTATGTCTAGCTCATCAAGTTCCTCCTCCTTGTGAGAGGATGGGGGTCGGGCTGGGGGGGGGGGGCTTCGTTTCCCCACTTTAGGGGGAGGTGGGGGCTGTTTCTATGCAAATAGAAATGGGCACATTCCTCCTACTGCCCTTTCCTCCACTCTTCCCCCACACGGCCGAAGTGTGGGAGCAGAAAGGACCTGTATTTTCCTACACTGAGGAGCCGAGCTGGGGGTGAGGGCCTGGGGAGAGGTGGGTGGACCTAAAGACGAGCAGCGGGAGGGAAAGTGGTTACCCAAGCCCCACCCGGACCGGGCAAAGAGCAGCCAGAGTTCCGAGTTTGTACTCCCATGCTGGATCGGCCGAGTCTTTTCTAGTGGTTCCTCAGGCTGGAGGGCCTGGGCCCCAGCAGGTCCCATTTTCCTCCCCTCCCATGGGCCTAGGATGGGTATGAGCCAGGGATCTAAGGAGAGAGGACCAATGGATCCCTTCCTGGCCCCGAAGTTCAAACCCCGTGGAGCACCCAGCATTAGACCCTCCCGCCTCCCCCAGAGCCCATGCTGGGAGCAGGCCCCCCCAAACCAGATGTGGGGAGGGGGGCCCTCTTTTCCACTCCTTTGTTCCTACTCAGACTGTTGCACACACTGACTCCAAACCTAGGGAGACTGAGGAATGAGCTCCTTAGGTTTTAACCCCAACCCCGTCCCACCCACAGGGTCCCAGCGTGGTGACTACAGGCGACCCTCCCTGTGTTGGGTCTAGAACGCCCCCAGCTGGAACGAAGGGAAGAAGCTAATTAGTGTCTTCCTTTGCACTGACCACCCGCCCCCCCCGCCACCAGTTCAGTCCAGGAGGGGACTTGTTCGCCCGTAGCCCATCTTCCCCACTATCCTGGTGTGTTGGGCTCGTGAATGCCTCCTAGCCAAATCACTAGAGTGCAGTGACCCCAGCCTCCTTCCTGTGCCAAGATGCCCTCCCTGCCCTGACCGTGCTAACTGTGTGTACATATATATCTACATATATGTATATTAAACCCGCACTGCCATGTCTGCCCTTTCTTGTGTCTGGCATTAACTTAGTGTCTAGGCCAGCGCGGGGGTGGGGGGGGGGGG